AAACTGGGATTCATCTGTGAAGAGCATACTTCTCCAGCATGCCAGTGGCCATCGAAGGTGAGCATTTGCCCACTGAAGGCGGTTACGACGCAGAACTGCAGTCATGTCAAGACCCTGGTGAGGATGACGAGCATGTAGATGAGCTTCCCTGAGACGGTTTCTGACAGTTTGTGCAGAAATTATTTGGTTGTGCAAACCCACAGTTTCATCAGCTGTCCGGGTGGCTGGTCTCAGACGATCCCGCAGGTGAAGAAGCTGGATGTGGAGTTCCTAGGCTGGCGTGGTTATACGTGGTCTGCGGTTGTGAGGCAGGTTGGACGTACTGTCAAATTCTCTAAAACGACGTTGGAGGCGGCTTATGGTAGATAAATGAACATACAATTATCTGGCAACAGCTCTGGTGGACATTCCTGTAGTCAGCATGCCAATTGCACACTCCTTCAAAACTTGAGACATCTGTGGCATTGTATTGTGTGACAAAACTGCACATTTTAGAGTGGCCTTTTATTGTCCCAAGAACAAGGTGCACCTGTGTAATGATCATGCTGTTTAATCAGCTTCTTGATATGCCACACCTGTCAGGTGGATGGATTATCTTGACAAAGGATAAAATGCTCACTAACAGGGATGTAAACAAATTTGTGTGCAAAATGAGAGAGAAATAATGTTTTTGTGCGTTTGAAAAATGTCTGGGATATTTTAGTTCAGCTCATGAAACATGGGACCAGCACTTTACATGTTGCGTTTATATTTTGGTTCAGTGTATAATTAAAAGCAAATGTTAAATTGTTTTATTTGAAACATGCTATAACATTTGACAGGCCGTTTAGTATTCCAATTGCTCACATGAGAATAACATTACAATTATATACAGTACAATTATTATGTGTGGTTATTTTCTCTATTAAAAACTCGTAATGTGTCAACAGCTCTTTAGCCTACTGTTCAAGCTCGTGAAAGTTGCCATATCAAGGTCCTATGTAACACTTGTAACAATGTGAAAAGGTCCAATGTAACAATGTTAACAGCTGATATAGCGTTAACTTGTCATCTTATTTGGGAAGATGCTCTGCTCTGCAGTCCCAGCCAACACGGCAGGAGTGATTACAGTGTATTACAATTGAAGATGATGGTTCGCTTGAGTCTAATCATCAGTCTTCAAAAGACGTTGAGCTAAAGACTGAAGTTAGTCACTGCTTTGCCACGAGGACAAATACAGTACCCAATAAGGCCACACGGTGGTGCTATTGTAACATTCTGTACAAAAAGTATTCTGCTCAATGGTCCATAGTCACATTGCCTATATCTGATGATAAACCCCCTGATTCATAGTTTTGTGCTTCTCAAGGAAAAGTATTGAAAAGTGACAACAACAAAAAAAAGGCCTCTGCATATTTCCCTGATCTTCGGTATTGTGAGAAATTGGCCGATTTGACTTAACACTGACCGGATGCCCAGGGACCCAGTGTTTCTAAAGTTATCTGATCAGATTTAGGCAATCAGATAGGCTTAAATGTTAGAATTGGGGTTTTCAAAACGGAAAAAAATAAGATTCTGATCCTCTGGATAGGGATAAGGATTTGGTAATCCAATGTTGTTTTTGCGTTTTTCAAAACTCAAAAGGTAGTGATTACGATAGTTGTGATGCCGAAAATCAGGATTATATTGATGATCAAGACTTGATTCCACTAGAATGGTGGCTTCAGGGTGGATTTAGACAGACACTACAACCAAGACATGTAAATGTCACTACAATCCAAAGGTTCATTATGTTAAACTGACTGCAGTATAGGTATGTGGTCAGTAGTTGGTATGACCAATCGGAATCTATGCTTCAAGATCGTTTTGATCACACAGACTGGGAGATGTTCCAGGTTTCCTCTGAAAATAGTGTATTTACAGTAAATTCGGAAAGTATTCAGACCCCTTGACTTTTTTTCCACATTTTGTTACGTTACAGCCTTACTCTAAAATGGATTAAATTCAAAAAATGTCCTCAACAATCTACACACAACAACCCATAATGACAAATCGAAAACAGATTTTTAGTCATGTTGGGCTCATTTATGAAAAATAAAAAACAGAACTACCTTATTTACATAAGTATTCAGATCCTTTGCTATGAGACTCGAAATTGAGCTCAGGTGCATCCTGTTTCCATTGATCATCCTTGAGATGTTTCTACAACTTGATTGGAGTCCACCTGTGGTAAATTCAATTGATTGGACATGATTTGGAAAGGCACACACCTGTCTATATAAGGTCCCACAGTTGACAGTGCATGTCAGAGCAAAAACCAAGCCATGAGGTCGAAGGAATTGTCCGTAGAGGTCCGAGACAGGATTGTGTTGAGGCACAGATCTGGGGAAAGGTACCAAAAAATGTCTGCAGCATTGAAGGTCCCCAAGAACACAGTGGCCTCCATCATTCTTCGGGACAAGTCTCTGAATGTCCTTGAGTGGCCCAGGCAGAGCCCGGACTTCCACCCGATCAAATATCTCTGGAGAGACCTGAAAATAGCTGTGCAGCAAACACTCCCCATCCAACCTGACAGAGCTTGAGAGGATCTGCAGAGAAGAATGGGAGAAACTCCCCAAATACAGGTGTGCCAAGCTTGTAGCGTCATACCCAAGAAGACTTGAGGCTGCAATCGCTGCCAAAGGTGCTTCAACCAAGTACTGAGTAAAGGGTCTGAATACTTATGTAAATGTGATATTTCCGTTTTTTTATTTTAATACATTTGCAAAAAAATCTAAAAACCTGTTTTTGCTTTGCCATTATGGGGTATTGTGTGTAGATGGATGGGGGGGGGGGAAAACGATTTAATCCATTTTAGAATAAGGCTGTAACGTAACAAAATGTGGAGAGAAAAAATTAAACACAAATTATATAAAATAAAACACAACAGCCCTCCGTATACATTACAAATAAAACACACTATAATAAAACACAATACAATACACAACATTAAACATGTTTAAGAAAAGCAATCGGATTCTGTAACATAAAAGTGTCCAATGAATCATTTAAAAATGCCTGAAAGGCACCAGAATATCTAACGGCAAGGAGTTCTGCATAATTGTTCCAGACATAAGGGGCAAAGAAAACTAAAAGCAGATTATCCAAATTCTGTGGAGACCAAAGGGGTCTCCCAGAGTTAACCATCCCTGAGAAGGGTTTGGTAATGTGTAAGTCTAAATGTAATCAAGGAAGTTATGTACAGAGGAAGTTTCTGCAAGTCTGCAGAGGTCCGTCCCACATTTTGTACAGAATACAATGATGAGTCCTAAAACCGTCCCAGTGATAAAACGTATCGCTGAGTGGAATACTGAGTCCAATGGTTTCAAAACAGAGCATATAAATAATGCCACCATAGTAACCAAAGATTTGTGTGTTTTGTTCGGTATTTCTCCACTGTTTGAGCTAGAAACATAAGCATTTTGCTTCACCTGCGATAACATCTGCAAAATATGTGTACAAGACCAATAAAACGTGACTTGATTTGATTTGTTATATTTCGAAGTTTCAAATAAATGCATCTACTGACTTCTAAGTGATATACAGGCTCTATTGTTTTTAATCAAGGCATCTTTATTCATGTAGTTCCCTCATCGGTTTCCCTAGGACCGGGTAGAAGTAATACCACAACCTGTCCAGTAGATGGCGAGGCCCGTTCAAAGCACTGACAATCCAGATTCTGTCATCTTCATATTGTGGTATCTAATTATTTTCTGGAAATAAAGGCTGAAAAACAGCCAGATCGATCTGATCCTGGAAGGCAAAAAAGAGGATTACATAATTCTGAACCAGATTGAAAAGGTTTTGAAAAGACTGGGCCCTGGTGCCTTCTTTAGTCATGAATAATACAGGACAGATAAACCCACTTCAATACATGACGGCACCATGACATACTTAGCTGTGATCCCGGGAACAGGTGTCGATAAGATTACAATAACATACTTGATTTATTGGTACATTTGCATGGTATTATTCATTTTCACTGTTCCAGTAGCCAAGTTGACACACACACATAGACCACAGCCTGGGAGCAGCACAGGGGCTGTGCCACTGGAGCCCTTAGGGGTCAAGTGCCTTGCTCAAGGGCACAACAGCAGTATGTAGTATATTGAAGCTGGTAACCTCGAGGCTACTGCCGCTGCCATTACATATGCCTAACTATTGATCTATTGAAACGAATTCGGGGGGCGGGGGGGGGGGGGGCAACTCTGACTGGGACTCGAACCTGGGTCGAGCGACTGTCAAGCCAACATCTTAACCGTTACGACAAGAGGTCCGAACCTGTTGACAAGGTCGCTAGGTGTTGGGTTAAAGTCGCTACATTACCGCCTTCCTTCCTTCAGGTGAGCTGTCCCTACCCTCTCTATACCAAGTCCCTCACATGTATACACCATGCCCATCACCGGCTCCGGCCATCACCGGCTCCATCCCACTTTCTGACACCAGCGTTCTCCTGCTAGCTACCTGCTCCAATAATGTTTACTACAATATATATGCATTTCTTTTTTTAATTTTTAATTTTTACCTCAAATGATGCTATTGTGGCCATATTGTCGCCTACAATTATTCGACCTACTCTGTAAGTCTATTACAGCTGATTTAGTTGCCAACGAAGGTATTTGAATAAATCAGAAATACATTTGGTATGACTCCAATATTCTAGGTGTTCCTGACGTCACTTGTCAATCAGTTAGGCAATGACATGCCCTCGGGAGCTGTTATTTCTCGGTGGCGCGTCCAGAGGTGCGAGATGTTCGCAGAGAAACATTTTAATTAAGGTCGTTTTTGATACATACTCGCGGCTTGCGTTATGAATAATGTCCTCAAAATAGAGCAATTTGCGTGTTTCTGACATTTATGAATGTGCGCTCTGGGCGGACGATGCAAATTAGTCATTTACATCACACATGCACAGCTGTGCGTAGGCCTATAGGCTATGTCATTTTACGGGGTTGCAAGTTCATGCATAAAAACCAACCAGCATGGTCGTGAATGCAGATAGAACTTTCAACAACAGCAACATTAAATCTTACGTGATGGAGAGAGCGAAAGAGCCCGGCGCAACAAACATGATTTCGGAGGCGCTCGTTGCACACTTGCTGAAGATTGCGCAAGAGGCGACGGAGGCAGTCTCCGCCACTTCGCGGTCTTCAACTCTGCTGATGGAGAATGGCACTCGGTGTGGTGAGCAAATTCTGAACTACGACAAGATGGAGAAGGTATTTATTGGAGGGTTACTCACCATGCTCACGCTGTTAACTATCTGCGGGAACTTGCTGGTGGTGATTTCGGTGTGCTTTGTGAAGAAGTTGCGGCAGCCGTCCAACTATCTGATCGTGTCTCTGGCGGTTGCCGACCTTTCAATCGCGCTGGCAGTTATGCCGTTTGTCAGTATAACGGACCTTATTGGGGGGCAATGGGTTTTTGGCCAAGTCTTCTGCAATGTTTTTATCGCCATGGACGTGATGTGTTGCACTGCATCCATAATGACGTTGTGCGTAATTAGCATAGACAGGTAAGTGTAATTCCAACGCCTTTTACCTACATAGAAGGACACGTGTACTGTTTGTGTAGTGTGACAAGGTGAAAGCCGGTTTGTTATGATTGTTAATTATGCATTTAGTTGTTAAATTGAGTCCTACATTTCTGTTTAGTGTTTTGTGCACAGGTACTTGATGTAATCGTGTTTTATAAGCCCATACGGGCTCGGCACCAATTGGTGTGGGCTACTAAATTAAATAAAGAATAAATAAACAAATTAACATCGATATTTTCATAGTGAATTAAGTGGGTAACCCGCTTGCCTCCAAAACCATATGTTTACCCCCTGCAGTTCGATCCCCCGCATGAGCCTATAAGCATTTTTGCCGGTCCCTCTACTGTCTCTCTGCTTCTGCTTCTACCCTCTCATAAAACATAACAAAACACTTAAGGAGTTCGGAATTCCATTCTCCTTTGAAAAGATAGTATAGCTTAGCCCTAGTAGCAGGCTACGTTATAATAATATTGTTATACAGTGTCTTATTATAATTGCTAATAGTTATTTTGGGGTGAATAACTCCCCAGTGTTTGTTTTCTGTTGGAAGTTGTTTGCTGTTCATGCAATGTATGTACAGTTAGTATGTTCTGAATGTATAAACAGCTTATGTTTAGCAGCTAATTAATTATATGCTTTTTTGTTGTTCGTTCTGAGGTACCTGGGCATAACCAAGCCTCTGACCTATCCTGTGAGGCAGAATGGCTGTTGCATGGCCAAGATGGTGGTGTCCGTGTGGCTCCTCTCCGCCTCCATCACCCTGCCCCCCCTCTTCGGCTGGGCCCAGAACGTCAACGACAACAAGGTGTGTCTGATTAGCCAGGACTTTGGTTACACCATCTACTCCACCTCAGTGGCGTTCTACATCCCCGTGTCCGTCATGCTCATTATGTACTACCGCATCTACCGCGCCGCCAAGCTCAGCGCCGCCAAACACACCATCACGGGCTTCCCGCGGGTCGGGGAGGAGGAGGAGGCGCGGGGGGGAGAGGAGGAGGCCATGGAGGAGCAGGAGGAGGAGGAGGAGAGCGTGGACTGTGTGTCGGCCGCCCTGAAGCTCCACAGGGAGGTGGAGGAGTGCACGCGATTCTCGCGCCTCATGAGGAGCAACCGGAGGAACATGTCCATCTTCAAGCAGGAGCAGAAGGCAGCGGCCACCCTGGGGATCGTGGTAGGGGCCTTCAGCGTCTGCTGGATGCCATTCTTCCTGCTCTCTACGGCCAGACCCTTCATCTGCAGGGTGGACTGCCCTAGCTGTGTGCCCTTGTGGGTGGAGAGGACCCTGCTGTGGCTGGGCTACGCCAACTCCCTCCTCAACCCGTTTATCTACGCCTTCTTCAACAGGGACCTGAGGACCACCTACAGCAACCTGCTGCGTTGCCGCTACCGTAACATCAACCGCAGGCTGTCTGCCGCCGGGATGCACCAGGCCCTCAAACTGGTAGAAAAGACTCACTCTGTTATCTAAATGTGGCGATGGCGTTATTGCTGTGGTATTGTGGGAGCTGCCACACTGAGCGCCAGAGTAGACTATGTTCTCTCAGTGAGAAAGTCTTAGGCCTGCCTGGTCCTCTGCTCAAGATCGTCCATGTCCAGACACAGTCCCATATTGGAGAGGTCTGATTATGAAACAACTAAGAAGCTATCCTTCCATCTGAATGTGAGTCCATGGACACTGGCTTTGTGTCCGTGACCTTACGGTTCTTCCCCTGGGCATTTTCCAGTTGTGCTATGGTTGCACAGACACGATGCCTCACAACAATCAATGATGTTTAGCTGTTGCATGGAACAGAACATTTTCTGTACGTCACTGCAACAATGATGTGACTCTTTCAAAAATCAACTATGGTATGTTTGTATTTTCCAGTTGTGTTATGGTTGCACAAACATGACGCCTCAGAACAATGAATGATGGTTAGCAATCTGCTTTGGCTCCATCCATCTTTGGACTTTTAAATGTATGATACACTATATATACAAAAGTATGTGGACACCCCTTTCAAATGAGTGAATTCAGCTATTTCAGCCACACCCGTTTCTGACAGGTGTATAAAATCGAGCACACAGCCATGCAATCTACATAGATAAACATTGGCAGTAGAATGGCCTTACTGAAGAGCTCAGTGACTTTCAACGTGGCACCGTCATAGGATGCCACCTTTCCAACAAGTCAGTTTGTTAAATTTCTGCCCTGCTAGAGCTGCCCCGGTCAACTGTAAGTGCTGTTACTGTGAAGTGGAAACGTCTAGGAGCAACAACGGCTCAGCCGCGACGTGGTAGGCCACACAAGCTCACAGAACGGGGACGCTGAAGCGCTTAGCGCGTAAAAATTGTCTGTCCTCAGTTGCAACACTCACTTAAAGAGTTCCAAACTGCCTCTGGAAGCAACGTCATCAGCACAAGAACTGTTCGTCGGGAGCTTCATGAAATGGCCGAGCAGCCGCACACAAGCCTAAGATCACCATGAGCTTAGTTCAACTCATGAGCTTAGTTTAACTGTAGTGCCCCATCAGAACTAAAATATAAGCATGTTTCACTCCAATGTTTGTAAACAAAGTAAATGCAGACAAATCCTATTTGAACATTTTATGTACTTCACAGCAACAATGTTGTGGCTTTGTCAAAAAATCAACTATGGTGGGTTGACGTTGTTCCGTGGTTATGTGTTTGACCTTCAGACAACATCTTTTCAATTACAGTTAATGCAGACTCTAAATGCAAATGTTTCATTGTAACATGTTGGATATGACTCATGACCAATGGACAAAACAACCTACACCTGGCATTTTACTTACTGGGAGTATGCCCTTTCATTTGTATAAATATTATTTTTCAAATGTCTGTTAATTTATGTTGAATGTATGTTTGTTGAATGGTAGTATAGCATATACATATAGTACCAGTCAAAAGTTTGGACACAACTACTCATTCCAGGGTTTTTCTTTATTTTTACTATTTTTTACATTGTAGAATAATAGTAAAGATATCAAAACTATGAAATAACACATATGGAATCATGTAGTAACCAAAAAAGTATTAAACAAATCAAAATATATTTTATATTTAAGATTCTTCAAATAGCTACCCTTTGCCTTGATGATAGCTTTGCACACTCTTGGCATTCTCTCAACCAGCTTCATGAGGTAGTCACCTGGAATGCATTTCAATTAACAGGTGTGCCTTGTTAAAAGTTTAATTTGTGGAATTTATTTCCTTCTTAATGCGTTTGAGCCAATCAGTTGTGTTGTGACAAGGTAGGGAGATACGGAAGATAGCCCTATTTGGTAAAAGACCAAGTCCATATTATAGCAAGAACAGCTCAAATAAGCAAACAGAAACGACAGCCCATCATTACTTTAAGACATGAAGGTCAGTCAATACGGAACATTTCAAGAACTTTGAACGTATCTTCAAGTGCAGTCGCAAAAACCATCAAGCGCTATGATGAAACTGGCACTCATGAGGACCGCCACAGGAAAGGAAGAACCAGAGTTACCTCTGCTGCAGAGGATAAGTTCATTAGAGTTACCAGCCTCAGAAATTGCATCCCAAATAAATGCTTCACAAAGTTCAAGTAACAGACACATCTCAACATCAACTTTTCAGAGGAGACTGTGTGAATCAGGCCTTCATGGTCGAATTGCTGCAAAGAAACCACTACTAATGGACACCAATAAGAAGAAGAGACTTGCTTGGGCCAAGAAACACGAGCAATGGACATTAGACCGGTGGAAATCTGTCCTTTGGTCTGATGAGTCCAAATGTGAGATGTTTGACTCCCGAGTGGCGCAGTGGTCTAAGGCACTGCATCGCAGTGCTAGCTGTGCCACTAGAGATCCTGGTTCGAGTCCAGGCTCTGTCGCAGCCGGCCGCGACTGGGAGACCCATGGGCGGTGCACAATTGGTCCAGCGTCGTCCAAGATAGGGGAGGGTTTGGCCGGCAGGGATGTGGGTTCGTTTCCCACGGGGGGCCAGTATGAAAAAATTATATATTAATAAAACAAACAAAAAAACATGTATGCATTCACTAACTGTAAGTTGCTCTGGATAAGAGCGTCTGCTAAATGACTAAAATGTAAAATGTAAATGTAATGTTTGGTTCCAAACGCCGTGTCTTTGTGAGATGCAGAGTAGGTGAACGGATGATCTCTGCATGTGTGGTTCCCACCGTGAAGCATGGAGGAGGAGGGGTGATGGTGTGGGGGTGCTTTGCTGTTGACGCTGTCTGTGATTTATTTAGAATTGAAGGCACATTTAACCAGCATGGCTACCACAATATTCTGCAGTGATACGTCATTCCATCTGGTTTGCGCTTAGTGGGACTATCATTTGTTTTTCAACAGGACAATGACCCAACACACCTCCAGGCTGTGTAAGGGCTATTTGACCAAGAAGGAGAGTGATGGAGTGCTGCATCAGATGACCTGGCCTCCAAAATAACCCGACCACAGCCCAATTAAGATGGTTTGGGATGAGTTGGACCGCAGAGTGAAGGAAAAGCAGCCAACAAGTGCTCAGCATACAGTGGGGAAAAAAAGTATTTAGTCAGCCACCAATTGTGCAAGTTCTCCCACTTAAAAAGATGAGAGAGGCCTGTAATTTTCATCATAGGTACACGTCAACTATGACAGACAAAATGAGGGAAAAAAATCCAGAAAATCACATTGTAGGATTTTTTAGGAATTTATTTGCAAATTATGGTGGAAAATAAGTATTTGGTCAATAACAAAAGTTTCTCAATACTTTGTTATATACCCTTTGTTGGCAATGACACAGGTCAAACGTTTTCTGTAAGTCTTCACAAGGTTTTCACACACTGTTGCTGGTATTTTGGCCCATTCCTCCATGCAGATCTCCTCTAGAGCAGTGATGTTTTGGGGCTGTCGCTGGGCAACACGGACTTTCAACTCCCTCCAAAGATTTTCTATGGGGTTGAGATCTGGAGACTGGCTAGGCCACTCCAGGACCTTGAAATGCTTCTTACGAAGCCACTCCTTCGTTGCCTGGGCGGTGTGTTTGGGATCATTGTCATGCTGAAAGACCCAGCCACGTTTCATATTCAATGCCCTTGCTGATGGAAGGAGGTTTTCACTCAAAATCTCACGATACATGGCCCCATTCATTATTTCCTTTACACGGATCAGTCGTCCTGGTCCCTTTGCAGAAAAACAGCCCCAAAGCATGATGTTTCCACCCCCATGCTTCACAGTAGGTATGGTGTTCTTTGGATGCAACTCAGCATTCTTTGTCCTCCAAACACGACGAGTTGAGTTTTTACCAAAAAGTTCTATTTTGGTTTCATCTGACCATATGACATTCTCCCAATCCTCTTCTGGATCATCCAAATGCACTCTAGCAAACTTCAGACGGGCCTGGACATGTACTGGCTTAAGCAGGGGGACACGTCTGGCACTGCAGGATTTGAGTCCCTGGCGGCGTAGTGTGTTACTGATGGTAGGCTTTGTTACTTTGGTCCCAGCTCTCTGCAGGTCATTCACTAGGTCCCCCCGTGTGGTTCTGGGATTTTTGCTCACCGTTCTTGTGATCATTTTGACCCCACGGGGTGAGATCTTGCGTGGAGCCCCAGATCGAGGGAGATTATCAGTGGTCTTGTATGTCTTCCATTTCCTAATAATTGCTCCCACAGTTGATTTCTTCAAACCAAGCTGCTTACCTATTGCAGATTCAGTCTTCCCAGCCTGGTGCAGGTCTACAATTTTGTTTCTGGTGTCCTTTGACAGCTCTTTGGTCTTGGCCATAGTGGAGTTTGGAGTGTGACTGTTAGAGGTTGTGGACAGGTGTCTTTTATACTGATAACAAGTTCAAACAGGTGCCATTAATACAGGTAACGAGTGGAGGACAGAGGAGCCTCTTAAAGAAGAAGTTACAGGTCTGTGAGAGCCAGAAATCTTGCTTGTCTGTAGGTGACCAAATACTTATTTTCCACCATAATTTGCAAATAAATTCATAAAAAATCCTACAATGTGATTTTCTGGATTTTTTTTCCTCAATTTGTCTGTCATAGTTGACATAGTTGATTTTCTATGATGAAAATTACAGGCCTCTCTCATCTTTTTAAGTGGGAGAACTTGCACAATTGGTGGCTGACTAAATACTTTTTTCCCCCACTGTATGTGGGAACTCCTTCAAGACTGTTGGAAAAGCATTCCAGGTGAATCTGGTTGAGAGAATGCCAAGAGTGTGCAAAGCTGTCATCAAGTCAAAGGGTGGGTCCTTTGAAGAATCAAAAATCTAAAATATATTTTGATTTGTTTAACACTTTTTTTTGGTTTGGTTACTACATGATTCCATATGTGTTATTTCATAGTTTTGATGTCTTCACTATTATTGTACAATGTAGAAAATAGTAAAAAATAAAGAAAAACCCTTGAATTAGTAGGTGTGTCCAAACTGTTGACTGGTTCAGTATGTATAAATGTGATTGACAAATCATTATTTACTTTTTTA